GGTTAACTGAATGTAATATTATATATATATATATATATATATCACTGATATGTGAGATTCTTGTATTTGTTTTGTAGCATCTAATTCTATAGTTCTTCATTTGCAAGTTTCCTTTATTATAAAGCTTAATGAGCTTAATTATTCTGAATAGAGTGAACAAATTTAGTTTCATTTAAAAGTTTTAGATTTGGATTTTGTACTACTTAATGATAAGCCTACTACTCTTACAATTACAAACAGTATTGAACAATGGTCTTTTCATGAAGATTGGAAAAGATGAAATAGAATAACTCTTATGATTATGACTGTAGCAGACATTATTAAACCAACCCTTCTAATAATGAATTATTTTAAAGATTTGATCTTACAGACTTCCCAAGTCTCCTAGGAAGAAAAACACAAATAACTTTAAAGAATTTATGAAGTCTATGGAAAGTATATCTCAATTTGAGTATACTGATAAGTCACGTGTTGGGACATTAATTGATATGCTAACCACAACGAGATTTGATGGTTCTCATACTTTTTTTGAGCACATTACTGAAATGAGTAATATAGTACCAAGATTAAATATCATGGGAATGAAAGTGAGTGAAAGCTCCATTGTACAATTTATTATAAACTTAATGCCTCCTAAACATGATCCATTCTAAATTAATTATAATACTATTAAGAATAAATGGAATATGACTGAATTATAGAGTATGCTTATTCATGAGAAATCAAGGCTTAATAAATAAGGAATTAACTCAATTAATCTCATGAATCAATTAGATTTTAAAAGAAAATGCATAAATAAAAATCTAAAGGGCAATAAAGGACACATAAAGCCTAATGTGTCATCTATCCAAATCCAAAAAGAAGGAACCAAGAAATGATAGATGTCATTTCTATCACAAGTGTGAACACTATCAAAAAGATTGCCTGAAATTTAATGTTTGGTTTGAAAAGAAAGGTAAGCCTAGTGAATTTTGTATGTTTTGAATCAATTGATTGAGATTTCTTATAATACTTGGTGAATTGATTCTGATTGTACCACATATGTTTCAAATGTAATGCAGTGATTTCTTATGACCCAAACTATAAAGCTAAATGAAAAGTTTGTCTTTGTGGGAAATAGAGTCAAAGCTCAAGTTGAAGCCATTGAAACATATCATTTGATTTTAGATATTGGACATCATTTAGATCATTTTTAAACTCTTTATGTACCTTATATTTCTATAAATTTATTTTTTTTAATCAAAACTTGATATAGTTGATAATTATTTTAAGTTTAAAAGTGAATGTTTCAATTTATTTAAATATAATCAACTTCTTAGTTTTGTTATGCTTTCTGGTGACTTATATAAATGA